AAATAAAGCCATTAAAATGTTCTAAAATGTTTTAACCAGTGAAGTTCAACCAGGTCTGTTGGGGGATATCAACTCACCGAAGACATTGATGAAATGGTTACTCAACTTCGTGGATTGGTTCAAGTTAGACATTAACACCGCTGGATGCCGAGTGGTTCAGTGGTCTATCGGTTAAGTGCTCTGGTTCGAGACTGGTAGTTTCTGGGTTCGAATCTCGCCAGACAGGATCGTGGATGTGTACTTCTGAGGAGTCCCACAATAGGACGAAACGGCCATTCAGTGCTTCCAGGTTTTCCATGGTGGTCTAGCTTCAACTGACTTATGATTTCCACTATATATAAAAATGTGTTATAACCTGTTAACTGTAACATATAATCTAAGTATTAAGTTGGTATATTGTCAATAACAAACAATGACTGTTAAAGATCGTCTGTTTTTCTTTCACGTGTAAGTAAATAAATAAATAAGTAAATAAGTTGGAGGTTAAGCGTACACCAACAAGAACGAAAGTCTTGACTTCGAATACTGGATTTCAGAGTCGTTGATGCGTACTACTAAGCAATCTCATACTAGGAAGAAAAGTCCATTCAGTCTTTGCAAATTTTTAATGGTGACCTAGATAAGATCAATTCATGATTTAAAACATGAAGATCTTTAATTCGATTGAGTAGAGTAACAGGAATTTCAGATAATTTCGTTAGATTCTAAATTGAACACCATTCATCATTCAAAATCAATGTACATACCTCACGTATCATAATATCACAAAAATACTCGTCTGTGAAGGTTTGTGAAAAGATAGCCATATGTATGAAAAAACCGATTAAGTAAATGATTCCGTCGAAAACGAAAATTTCTTCGCTGCATTGTCTTTATATTTATTTAACGACAAAATGGGTTATTTTAATTGTTAGAGAGATAGTTGAATTTCATTGAAACCATCAACCGAGACCAGTGGAATGGGTGTGGGGAAGTTACCATTGAAGACAGTGTTAAATTATTTACTTACTTAATTGTGCTTGTTATCCCTCATGGAGGAGCATAGACCGCCCGCTAGCACTCTCCATCTAACTTTGTCCTGGACAATCCTTTCTAGTTGTTTCTAGTTGCTATTTATCCTACTCATGTCTGCTCCCAATTCCTGACTTAGTGCGTTCTTCGGCTTTCTTCTTTTCTGTTTCCCTTCAGGATTTCAAGTTAGAGTTTATCCCGTGATTCAGTTTGACGATTTTTTTTTAATGCACGTTCTATCCACTTTCAATGTCTTTACCTGATTTCCTTTTCAACTGGAAGCTGATGTGTTCTCGCCCACAAAAGGCTGTTACTGATTGTATCCGGAAAACGGACACTGAGTATTTTGCGCAAACAATTGTTTATAAATACCTACACATTTTTGATGATGGTTGTGGTAGTTCATCAAGTTTCATCTCTGTATAGTAGAACTGTCTTGACGTTCGTATTGAAGATTATGACTTCGGTATCGGTTGACCGTTGTTTTGTGTTCAATATGTTCTTCAACTGTGACAATGCGGCCCTTGCTTTGCCAATACTTGCCTGTATATTTGTATCAGACTCTTCTTGTTTATCAGAGATGCCATCTAGATACGTGAAATATTTCACCTCTTCCAGAGTTTCTCCATCAAGTGTGATTGCATTAGTGTTCTCTATATTGTATTTGAGTATGTTGCTTCTTCCTTTGTATATGTTCAGGTTTACTGATGCAGAGGCTTTTGCTACATTGGTTATCTTGACCAGCATTTGTTGGTGCGTATGGGATAGAAGATCTATGTCATCTGCGAAGTCCAAATTATCTAGTTGATTCCGAGTTATCCATTGTATTGCGTGTTTTCTCTCAGATGACAATGTCTTAATAATTCAGTTGACCATCAGAAGAAAAACGAAGGGGTAGAGTAAGCAGTTTTGTCTAACTGTGGTCCTCACCTAGAATGCGTTTATCAGCTGTCCTCTATGCCCGACTTTGCAGTGTAGTCCGTCGTATGATGTCGAAGACTTCCTCAGGTACACTATAGTGTCGAGAAAGGTTCCACAATATTCTCCTATCTACGTTGTCTAACGCTATCTCTTAATCAAGGAAGCTGATTTACAGTGACTAGTTCCATCCAACTGATTGTTCCTACAGAAAACAACCTCGACAAAAACACTAACAATAGAAGATGGTCGCGAAATATTGTCAATTGATTGAAGTTAGACAATAATGATTTTGGATGTCGACATAATGGTCTATGGATTAGGCGTTCTTGTAAGAGACTGTAGGTTCTGGATTCGAGTTTTGTGTTCGGGGTCGTAATCCCCACTTTTGAGGAGTCCAACACCAAGACAAAATGGACGCCCAGTGCATCCAGGTTATCAAAGATTGTCTAACTTAGATCGGTGCGTGAATTCAATGGTATTGCTTAACTGCTAGTTTGCTGTATTCAAATTTATTGATAGACCAAAAGTTTGACAAGATATGTGATTTACTATTATTATCATTGGAGTTGTCGTATTAATGAATAATTGACAAATAAACCAGTCCTTTTTTCCCTTAGGCTTGACAAAACAGTACCATTCTAACGGAATAAGTAACAGGTCGATGTTACTCTGCAGTCATAGTAAACACCCATACCAATAGTAATAATCAGTATTCAGCTCGAATCACAACGCTGATATACCAGTCTTTGTTTAATTCATTATAATAATCAAGATGATGCTCTGTGTTAAGGAGATCTCACGAAATAACATTACTGAAAGTTTTTTTCAAAGTCAGATGATGAACCCCAAATAAGAAGAAATCCATATCCTGGGTCCTTACTAATTAGAATTAATGTTGTTGATATGCAATTCACTGAATTACTGAATCCATATATAACTATCAATTTGTTTAGTGGTTATGACTGTGTATATATGTTAAATGACAAGATGAAATTTGTCTGTTCAGGATGTACATAGACCGCATATTTATAAATCGTAGTCTTGAATATATATATATATATATATATATATATATATATATATATATATGACAGGAAAATACATACCATTACAAATTACCGTAATCGAAGACTTGAGGAATATTAATTATTCAATGAAACTTATATTTGTTAAGTAACAATGGATAGTAGCCACCAGTGGACTCAGTAGCTAAGTGGATAACACGATGGCATCTGAAGCAAATGGTACTAGGTTCGAGTCCTGGAGGGAACATCAACTGTGGGATGCAGGTACATCCATCTGAAGAGACCCAAAGAAAACGGAACACGCTCTTTGGATTCCACTACTAGCCACCATCCATCATTGCTTATAATGCTTGTGACTTAAGGTAATATCAAAACAATACGCACAATATGCACATATGTCGATAAGAGAGACTGATCAATTTCAGTCCTGACACATCAATGTAAAAATTCAAATAAACAATACCAAGTGAATTTGATATTTGTTAAATTATTTTTTTTAGAATGAAATCTCATTTTCCTACTGTTTTAATATTATTATTCGTTTTGAGATATCTGAAGTTTTATATAAGAGACGACCGATGAAAATCAGGACGCAGTGGAAAACAATTTTTTTCCTAGTATAGGACTTATCAGTGATAGTGATCATCCATGACTTCACCAAGGATAGGACCCAAAACATTTATACCTGAAACTACCAGAAACACTCGATATTATCAATCCCTACAACATTCCATAATTACTTTTTTATGATCAGAATGGGGTTTGTGGAGATTGTAGTAATTTTAATATTTGGATTCATGAGTCCATTTAAATGAGATTACTTCAACTCATGAATTGAACTATTAAAATTACTATATTCTCCTTAAACCCTATTCTGATGATAATAATCATATGTTCACTGATGACCGGCTCTAAGATGATTTCCTGGAGCTGTAGTGAGAAGTCATGAGCAATAAAGTCCAGTCCGCGTCGGGTAGAGATAGATGTCTACCTCAATCAATGAATGAGTTGTTGATCAGCCATTCATGGATCGATGGAAGTTATACATTAACACCGCTGGATGACAATCAGCTAAGTGGTCTAAAGGTTAAGCGTCCTTATGCGTGACTGAAGGTCCTCGGTTCGCATCGTGTATGAATATTGTTGAGAAGTCCCATACTAGGAGGAAATGGACGTTCAATGTTTCCATGTTTTCAATGGTTGTTTAACTTAGATCAACTCATGAATTCAACTATTAAAATTACTTTTTAGTTATATTTATCTTCAAACAATTGTGAAATAATAATATCTAGAGCGGGGGGGGAATTATCTTATAATAGAAATGAAAACATTCCCACATTTATGAATGAAGCAAAAACTCAGAAAATTATAAGAACTTAAACATACATACAAATACATATATCGTACTATTCAATACACTTTGTTTGAATAATCAATCTATTCATAGAAATTAACTTGTAAAGCCAATTATTTTCTTCTCAATTAAAAAAAAACTCTTCTTTTTCGTTTTTTTTAAAAAAGGAAAAAAAACTTTACTGAATTCTGATTGGTTATTTAGATTGACGAATGCGAATAATAAATTAACTAAGAACCAATCAAAAAGCTAACGCATCCTAATCACTTTCTACCAATCAGAAAGCTAATCATTTCTCATTTATCAGAATATAGAAAAAAAAAATTTTTTTCTTTTTTTTCTGTTAAAAATAATTTTTTTTTTCTCATTCATTCCAGGGGTGTATGATAAAACTATTTAGATACTGATTTATGAATGAATAGAATTGATAATAAGAGAAAGAGAGAGAGAGAGAGAGAACGAAAGATAGAAAGACAGAGCAAGCGAGAGTGAGAGAGGGGAGAAAAACAGAAGAGAAAATAAAAAGTTGATTTTGTTTGTTTTTTTTTTCTTCAAATTTTTAAATTCTAATCTATTCTTGTTACCTACATTACCCTACATACATAGATTATATAAATGATATAAAAATCAACTCATGAAATTGATCATATTTTAATTGAATACAAATTGAACTATTTTTTTTTTTTACCATGGATACTATTATGCAAGTTGATGGATTTTCTAATTTATCTAATTTAATACGAATTAATGAAAAGTATAACTTTCATACTACTCATAATGATAAAACGAATACCAATACTACTAATAATACTACTAATAATAAACATAATTTATGTACAGAGAACATTTCATCAAATAATAATAATAATAATAATATAACTGACAATTCCAATATTATACCAACTTCAATATCAATGTCATCATTACAAAAATCAACATTCAAACATATTTCTATGTTATCTGATATACAGCAAACAAACAATAATTATTATTCTAAATTAAAATTACACCAATATCAATCTAATCATAAACGTATTAAATGTGATGAAGACCATATTTATAATAGTCCATCTATTAATACTACTACTACTACTACTACTACTACTACTACTACTACTACTACTACTACTACTACTACTACTACTACTACTACTACTATTAATAATAATAATGTTTATAAAAATAATGACCTAATTATTAAAGATGATCCTATGGATGAAGATCATATTGACAATGATGATGATATTGATGATGATGGTGATGGTGACGATGATGATGATGATGTTGAATGTCATATTAATAATGAATATTCTTCTTCTAATAAGAATTTGAATAATAAACAAATGATTCATTCATTTAATTCTTCAAAATTAATGACACAAATATATCGTAATAATAATAGAAAGAAAATTTCACGTTTAGATTTTAATAATGAACAATTATCTCAGGGAATAACATCAGCAACAACACCAACAACACCGACAACTACTGATCAACAACGGATAACAACTTATCCTACATCTAGTAAGTGATTCATAATTCAGATATATATGAATTGTTTACTTTAATAATTAATTATTTGGTAGATTACACTATCAACTGATCTCGTTGATAGCATAGATGTACATTATGGAAGTGTTTCATATTATGATTAAATAGTTACTTAGTACTTTCTGGTATATAATGATTGTTTAATTAAAGTTAGACTTTAATGTGATTCCATATAATGAAAAAGATTAATATATGTTTGAAAAATATGGTTACAAATTTTGTTTGAATCTTCTCATTTATGTGTTAGGATTGAGATTGATCAGTTACTATGGTTTGCCTCGATACTGCGTTAAGTCACAAATATTATAAACAGAGATAGATTAATTACGGTCTTAAATATCAGTGAGAAGATTCGAACAAGTAATACAAGGATGAATTAAAACTGCATATCATTTTATATGTTAGTGACTATCTGGATTCAGTAGATAAGTGGATAACGCGATGATGTTTGAAATGAACTGTATTGGGTTTGAGTCTTAGAATAAACATCAACTCTGAGATGCAGGTAAATCCATCTTGCAAGTCCCAAAGGGGACGAAACACATGTTCTGGATTTCACTGCTAGCCACTATCCACTTTAACTTATATTAGGTTGTGAAAAGCTAGAAACTTGGGCTTTCTATTGATTGATTCATATTTTATGTATATTATTATTGTTATTTCATGTTATTTCGTGTTTTGTACTGTGTAGAAGCATAGAAGCTTTGCGGTTTCTAATACTTAACAATACAATGTGTTATTCTAGTAATCTTGACTAATTACGGTAGACAAATAATTATTGGGGGAAAAATGTAAAGGAAAGTATATGTGTTATTAGTGTTTAGTCAGTGATCCTTTCAATGCATTAATTATGTATCTTAAGACTATGGGGTGAGAAATAATGAAGTTAAGCACAGTATGTATGTAAATTCAATGACTGTTTATATGAACTGACAATGTTGACTGGGATCCTAGTAGAGGTGATCAGTTCAAAGTGTAAAATCAGTGATTGATGGTTTGAGCTTTGTTCAGTGATAAATACTTGACTAGTCAAATTGTTTATTATGACCAATAGTTGGAGGTGTTACTTATCATTTGTTGTCTTTCATTTCTCCCCATTTCAAAGATTAAGTTTTTAAAAAGAATATTTTATACTTTTCATTATTTAAGAATTCATTGATTCATTTTGAATCATATTGTCATCTATCCTTCATGTTTATTGACATTACTGATATTGTTACTTACTTCGACTACTCTAGGATTTATCATGGTAGTTTCATCTAATTAAGTAAAGATTACATGACAACTTGAGGATGTACGAATGTCTGTCAGATTCGACATTCCTTATGATTAACTGATTTATTCACTAGTTAATTCAGAGTAATATTCAACCAGTCAGATTTATCTTGAAATCATATACACGAGATTACTTTTGATTAACAAGGTGATTTAATGACTCAATGATTGAAATGGCAACGAAAAATACAACTACTCAACCAAAAACAACCCATTCCCCACTTCATATATATTTAACATACACTTAATCGAGCGCTCTTAATCAGTCCCAGTGCATAGTCTATACGAGATGATCTTCTCTTGTTCTTTTAAATAGTCAACATATAAGTCTCATATTACTATAATCACTGTCAGTGTTCAAGTATGTATTACCCCCCCTCTCTCTCCATATATATATATATATATATATATATATATATATATATATTAGTCGTTTGAATTTCCCCAGTTGTGTTTAGAACTGCTATAGATCAGTCTATTTCGGTGTATGTGCATTATGTGAGAACTATCTTGATATTGTCATTACATCAAAAGTATTTTAAAGCACTGATAGATAGTGGCTAGTAGTGGAATTCAGTACACACGTTTCATCCATTTTGAGAGTCGTAAACTGGATTTGCCCGCATCTCACGTTTATATTCACTCCGGGTCTGGAACCTAGCACTATTCGCTTCAAATGACAATGTTATCCTACTTAGTTACTTAGTCAAAACAACCACTAGCTTGTAAAATTTGTTATTTCAATCTTCTCAATGAAATTTAAGACTCGAACTGATCAGTCTATTAGTCCTGGATTCCATTGTTAGCCACTACAAGAAATTATTATTATGTAGTTCTATCATATTCAAAGCATCATCAAATTTATTTAACCTTCAATCAATATGTTACACATATACCGACTTTATTTGATCTACTTTAGTTTGAACTAGACAATAAGATAGATCTTAATATTGGCGTTCATCATGGAATGCATTCATGTATATAAAAATTTGTACTAGAGTAAATAAATTACATCATTGTTTTGGTTTCGAAATCCCAGAACTCGTGTTTTTGCTGTTGAAACTTGTATATACACCATATAATGATTTCTAAGTTATCTACACAACAACAATTAGAGATAAGGATCAGAAACAAGGAACTACTGAACAGTTATTACATCATAAGAAATGCTTCAATGCTTAAATAATAAGTATTCAATAACGTACCAGGAATTGAATACCCAGTAATATGCAGTTTCATAGTCAACGCTTAACTTTCAGACCACTGAGTCTATAATCTCAGTCAATAAGTCGAAAGTGTACATTTCCATGAAATATGTCTGTCTTGTACATTCAAAATGACTGAAAATCACTAGCCATAGTTTCTCAGTAGAACTGAAGCAACTTCCACTTTAAGTTAGTTGCTGGTTAGCATATAATGAAAAGCATGTTGTGAAGTTTGTTAAATTTAAAGTTTACGATCACATATTGATATCATGATTATGGTTCGATCCCTAGTGGTGTGGTCGTGAATGCGTACTGTTGAGGAGTACCATATTAAGTTTTTAAAAATGTTCTACAGTACGTTTACATCTTTTAACAGTTTTCTAACTAATGCCAATTATAATCCATCAGAAATTAAAATGTGCCAATCATTCACTATCAATATATTAGATAATAATTGTCATATGCTATGGGAATAATCTGTGCATTCAATTGTCAGTTGATGAATTTATTGTTCTATGATTAAGTTAACTATCCTTCTCTTCTCTCGATATTTTCTAATTTTTTTTTGTTTAAATGAGCAATGAGAGAATGAATTAATATTTGACTATTGGAGGGATTTATTTCTCATATCCTTATCTGAGTTTTCCAGGCTGCTTTAGTCACTATCATCAAGATATATATCTATTAATGATAAACGTTCACCCCCCTTTATTTGCTTTGAACCGTTGTAATATCAACTAAACTTTACACTTATGTTAAACGATAAAGTTTAATGATCAGGTGCAGTGATTTGAAATAGTCGACAGGACACCATAAACGATGTAGATGTAGACGTTTGTCAGCAAGATATATATATACATGTAATTGCTATGTTAGTGGGATTAGAATATCACTTTGGACTTGTGAATATAACGAAAGTTTGAAGCGCATCAACAGGATAAGGTAAACTATTACTCTGAGTCCCAGCACTTCTAACTAAAGGAAGAAATTAGATTCAGTCGGGAAAAATATGTAGTTCCATAAGCAGCCCACAAGAACGAACAATCACACAATTCATGCGCACAATACAACAATATCCTTGAGAAATGTCGCAAAATAACGTACTAAAAGAGAGGATAAACCAATGAAGTTTAAGATCATTCCCGGTGGAAAACACAAACTAAGGTTAAAAGTGGTTGCTTTTGGAGCAAAAATGAGAAATTCAAATGACAACAATTAAATTACAAAAAAGAGGTGTTTACCAAGTGATCTCTGGGGTTATAGCATCCTCAATATTAACCTTAAGGCTTGCTGATGTATTCTATCCGGCATCATCCAACTTCATAGTCAGGAATGTTACGACTGTGTTATTCAGACCGTAATTGACCTCATGTACGATTGAGATGTATTTACAACTTAAGGATCCCTGAGTAGTGATCAGTAAAATGTATATCAACTCCTCAATGCTGACCAAAATTCTATCGATCAAGTGGCCAATAGTCTAATTGACTTGACATCGTATCTTGCTGATGAGTGGCAAATAGAATGAAACCCAGTTCCATTGTTTTTTTCTCGACTACCTCTCAATATCACCTTACATCTTATTATAGTGCATATGATGTCGAGTCACTTAGATCAATGACCGGATTGCAAATGAAATGATAGAATTCTATGAGCACTCGTATGGATATGAAATACATGACATTAGTCACTACCCAATAATCAATCAATTTTAATAATTTATCAATCATATCATGAAGTTTACTGATAGATTTCAGCTTGTAACAGTAAAGACTATGGAACAGAGAATTAGTTGATAATCTTTCACTAAACAGAATGGAGTTTTTCCCAATTGTCTATTATAGATATATCCTGTGTAGCGTAATCAGAGATTCTAAATGAACCGTAGAACTCAAAAGGAAATCCGTAATGAAATTTCTATTTTAATAGGTAATGCTTACCTACTAAATACACAGAAAAATGTTAAAAAGTGTTGGGTATAATGTGAACAACGAAAACATTACGAGTAACACCAGTATACTCCGTTTATATTATCGATTAGAGAAAGACAGCGGGATACTGGAGTTATATGATAAAGTAGATTAATTTATAATTTACCCATAGTGTTCATTTACACTGATCAATAATCTAATATAGAGTCAATTTTGGTTAAAATCAATTCTTTTTTCCTAGTTATAGAATGTCAATATGTATATAGTTCATTATTTAATAGACCTGATTGTACTGTTGTATGAATTCATGTTGTAAGATGCTTTGGAAAGTTATTTAATCTCATAGTTCATATCAGAGAGAATCAGTAATGACCAGAACTATCGGGAGATGAAGTCCAGAACCAATGAATTTTGTAATTAGCGTTTAACAACCATCTAATAGGTTACATGTCTAACTTCATTATGTAATCATTAGTGTCTAGTTAATAAATGAATTAAATTCTATATAATACAAATGCATACATAACTTACAATCAATCATTTTCATAACATTTAATGTATTATAGAATT